TTTATTTATTTAGAGCACAGGTCGTCTGCGGTAAAGCCCAGTTCAGGAATAATTACACTGTTGAATACAGTAGATGCCCGATACAAAACGTACAAAGCCCCAAATACATGCACATTAGATGCAGTCATACCTGCACATGGCACGCCTAGACAAAACATTCATCACAGACATGGTCTGCGAGTGTCGCGAACCCGCACATTGGGCCGGAATTGTTTTGTTCGCTGGAAGTCATTTAATTTTAACACTGCAAACCCCTGCGACAGCCTCCTGGAAGAGGCCGGTGGGCCGAGAGCGCCAGGGAAATGTATTCGGATCGAATGGGGATGTCAGGCGAACTGTGATCGGTAGCGACGAGCAAGCTTTGCAGTCAATGGCAAATCGATGAAGCACATTTGTAATCACTTGACACGTCATGGGGCACTAGACGAACGTGGCGCATACAGGGCTAAATACGTGCCGCGGAGCGCCAATATTCTGCATTTTGGCTGTGCAAAGCCTTAAAATAAGTTCATCAGGGATACACCCTCATTCACGTGAGAGTACATCATTGATTTCATCACACACACCCTCATTGATTGATAAATGTGGAAGGCATTTTCACATCATGGTAACGTGTTTGTTTACTAATGTATCATGTATTCTTTTCTTGAGAAGTGTTTTTGGTTAGCTCATCCGCCAGTAGGGAGAATATCTATTCCTCCATGCACCCAAAAGCGAAGAACGTAACGATTTCGGATCATGTTGGATCCAAGCTATGTAAACACGGCAGCTCCACATCCAACTAAAAAAACGGCCGCCGGACCGTTGCGCGGTGTGCGCTGGTGGGCGGCGGCCCGACCTACCGTGGCGGTGTGTGGCTGGACGCAGCGCGTTTGACCTGTGCCTCCGACAGACGCGCCCCGACTGGCCGACCCGGACCGGCCAGCAGCCGCCGCAGCCTTCACCAGGGCCGGGTCGGCGCCGGCGCCCGCTGCCGCTCCCGGCACGACCAGGCGCCGCGCCGGCGGAGAGTCCGCCGCAGCCACCGATCACAGCCGAACGCCCCCGCGTGGACCCGGCGGGGCCGCAGAGAGCCCGCTCAGGGCGAGGTCGCAACTGACTGACTCCAGCGGGTCACGGTCCCCGGTCACAGACACCGTCATACACGGGGTGTCTCGCACAAATGCAATGTCACTTTGGTTCTTCTCGAGATAATAATATTATAAGGACCTAGTATGGAACCAGATCTGGACTGCACGAAACACAGGTCGCGTTCTGTCGTCGGGGTTATTAAAACGCTCACACGTTCAACTCAAGAGGCGTTTTTACTCCATGTGGTTCTTCTTTATTCTATGTTTGCAGCACTTCCGATTTCTTAGCATGGGATGCAATTGGCAAGCGTAGAATAACCAAAAGGTGCATGGTGACGAAATGGTTCTTCTTCCGGAGTAAAGTTTTACGGCTATTCTGATAGGCCAGACAATAGACATTGAGTTTGCTCGGATATTCCTATTCACGTGCATTCAGATTTGGTGCCGAAATTAGCCTTGTATCTAATAATGCTGGCGTGGAAAAGCGTTATTGAGCATCTTATACAGAAACGTAAGTATAAACGGGCCAAAGGAAAGCGCCATAACTGAACGACTTACGCGGAGTGGGGCACAACGGTTTTTGCACACAGTTGAGCATCGCGTACGCTGAACAATCTTCCCCTGAAATGCCTGGTTGATATACTTCGAGCTCAGTTGTGTGAAGTTGCGCTTTATTCCATCTTTCTTTTGTGTAGACTCAAACTGTTTAACTCTTGTCCCTGAAACTGAATCCTTTTGACGTATCATTACTCCCTGCAAATACTTCTTGCATTAAGCCCAGATTTCCACAAGTCTCAACGGCCTCGAGGTCGTCGAGGCTGTCAGATTTGTCTTTCTGACGTTGCAGTCACGCCATGCCCTTTCTTTTCTCGCTGAGAAGAACCTCGTTTTATCTCTGACAAGCTCCTTCTTTTTATGAGCCAAACATTTTAAAAAAAGACTTAAGTGTTACCTTTTGACTATGCATTTTGGGGATCAGCGTACACACTAAGCAAATGTTTCTGTGTAATCATGGTCACGCCATCTGATTTGAATTCCGGGTCAGAGATAGAATTTTTGTGGCGAAAGCTGGCGGTGCTGCAAAGGTCGGCAATGTCAGTCTTGCCCTTTGCCGACGCATGACCTCTGGCGCTGCCGCTGGCACCGGCCGCAGAGATATGTGGAGTGCAATAGTGCTGCCATCTGGAAAAGGGTGACTTGAGCGCCTCTGCCATCTGTCGGGTGGGACAAACCAAACGATACTTTAGAGGGAGCTTGGCGGTTGATTTTTCTCTAACTTCCATCTGATCTTATCAGAGACCATTGTGTAATAAAATGGGCAGTAATAGGGCTGCTTATTCGGCTCAAATGGATACAACATTTCTCTATGCCTGTTTTTCACCTTCGAGCACTCAAAACTCCAGTGACCATAGGTATCCCGTTGAACCTCACACACAAAATTTCAAACGGAACATATCACAGCACATTTTTGCTTGCAAATCTCCCTGAGCCCATAAGCTCAGACAGATAAATATATGTGCAGACACAACTTTAGCGTAACAGAGCACTGTATCTTCGAAACATTTACCTAACTTCCTTCAGCAGTTCTTGGCGTCGCATTTCCTCGCATACGCGCCTCTTTACTCTCTTATCTTTGTTTACGTACTTCTTGAAACAAGTTTCTGCAAAAGCACAATTACTTGCGTCGAATATCTCAAAAGATGCATTTTTGCATCACATGACATAATAAAGATATTTGAAATTTTGTTGCGCAGTTCTTCCTCTATGACATGTACCACGCGCATTGCACCGCAAAGATAAACTCGCGCATCATATCTCCTTATTTATCGAACTTTTCGTGACCAACTTTTGCGTTTGCCTAGTGCGCACATCCAGGTATGCAGGGTAGGGTTTCATAACCATCTCGCGAATCGTATGCAAATATTAATGTTATGTGTGCGGAAAATTTGCACCTGCTGGCTGGAGCATACCCGCTAAAACATTGATTGCGGTCGGTAATCGCTCATCAGTCAGTGTGCTGGGATGGAGACCAGAGAGCTGATCACAAAACTGAGGGACACGACGCGAGATGCTGCCCGACAGCATGTACTCTGCGCTCAGCCGGGGGGCCCTGTAGTAGAAGCTGACAGAAATATGCCTTCACTCGTGTTTTTTTCTCGTTCTGAGGACCACGCATAGACGTAACTTCAATGATTTATGATAGAGAAAACATAAAGTCTGCGTTGTTTTGCCCGCACATGCACGCTTACCACTGACTTCCATTGACAGCCGCCATGAATGCACGAGCCCAGGTACAAGCCAGAGTCAGGCCCCCTGCTGCCAGCAGTTCAGCCAGCCGAGCTGGAAGCTGTCGCCGCGACCGAACTCTAGGGAGAAACGCTCTAACAGCATGTTTGTGCCTATTTGTCGTCAGCATGTCTTCCGCGTAATCTTGACGGGATAGACAAGTCACGCGGTGTCCAGAAGCAACGATGAAATGTGCCTGACTCAAGCAATGCTGAAGCAAACACGGTTACCATGGCGGACGTGATCAGACATGATCCGTATATATATATATATATATATATATATATATATATATATATATATACCACCCATTCTGGGCTCTGAGACCAGCTGGTAGCATCAGGCATGGGTTGGAATAACTGCTCCGACTGTTGTCTTCGTCTGCAAGGTTCAGATCCACTCAACGATTTGGCCAATTACTTATCAGGCCGCATTTAGATGCTTGGAGGCCCTGGAAAGGGTCTCAGGGCGTCTGGCGCTTAACTATGCATACGTCTCTCAGCGCGGTGATTTCTGGCATCTTCAATTGCAAATCTAAATATTTCACGATCGGTAAACTAACGCTTTAACCACATAACACTAACCCAACCTGTAAACTTCAACGCTTATGCAGGTACCAGCCAGGGCAGCGGATGCCCGAGGTGGGTTCGAGTCGGTATAGGAGCTTGCTATTTGCCCCTGACTGTGACCGGTGGTAGCGGTTACGTTAAAGCTCAGGTAAAGATGGAAGGCAAAAGACCGTGGCACAAATTTTGGCATATCTAACTCATGTTTTCTGTGGTTAATTTATGTCAACACGGATGAAAACGCTGCAATGTCTCTATTTTTATGGGGCGTGAAAAGTTGTCGTAAGTCTTCGTCTCTCATTTCTGAGAGTATCTGTTTATCATATGAATGGACGCTGAACGGAAATCCGCCCTAAGCCTGCTGATAGGTTTTGGAGATAGAGCCGTGTTTTCAGACTCAGTACCCTCTGTCAGTTTCCTATGCGGTCCTTCACCCATTCATCCAATAAATCCTTGAAAATGCAGGAGACAACAGACACCCTCAACACACTGTCAAACGTACTCCCTGGGGGGCCACCCACTGTCGAACGTACTCCCCGGGGGGCCACCCTCAACGCAATGTCGAACGTACTCCCTGGTGGACCACTGGCCATACCATCGTTCTACTAATCACTTGGCAGAAATGTGGAGACTTTCACAGAGCAGGCAGAAACTTGCGAGACTAAGGTACGTACGCACACCACGCACCCAGCGCCTCTCAACATCCCTCGGTCAGTCTCAGCCTATTGGCGACGGCCCGAAGAAGAGACTGGCATAGGCGTTGCGCACAACTTTATGCGACATCGCTGATACGTACGCGGGTCGGACTGGTCTCATCCTTACCATTTCCGTTTCGGGGACTGAACTGGAAATGGTATAGTCCTACTCAAGCACTTGTGCTCGAGTATAAAAGCCCGCCGGACATCCTGACGGGTACCACCAATTTATTGATCCTCTCCCCCCCCCCACCCCCTTCAGACGTTAGCCACCCGGACGTCTGCGGCCAGAAGGCCGTGGCGGGTCGCTATTTACCCGAGCGGCGGCCGCCCTGTGGCCCAGTATGCGCGCAGCGCGGGTCGCGAGAGGAGCGCTGTTCGACATGGCCGCGGTGCTACAGCTCTGCACGTCTCTGGGGCTGCTGCAGCCGGGCAGCACGCTCTGCGAGGGTGTCTACTCCACCAACTGTCACTGCGTGCGTCAGGACGAGCGGGTGCGGGTGTGCTGCGCCGGCCAGAACAGCCCCGACGACATTGCTCGTCTGCTGAGCGAGGACCTGCGGGACACGCCCCAGGTGAGCCGCTGCCGCTGAGCCGGAGCTCAGCAGCTGGCGAGTGTCCTGACCAGGCCCCGCCCGCTCCGCTGACAACAGAGCGAAGCAGTTTAATTATTTGAATTCGGTGGTTTTTTAATATCAAGCCTTAGGCGGGGCCTCACTTGAATGCACCCACAAGTAAGGCCAGTCCGCTTCGCTGGACGACCATTGATATTATTTCGAGGTGGGCCTACCGTTACTATGACGCTTCCCAATCAGCCAAATCATTGTTATATTTAGCCTTAGGCGGGCTTCACTTGCGTCCGCTTCGCTGGACGAGAGTTAAGATTATTTTGAGGTGGCCTGACTGTTACTTGTATGCTTCCCAATCAGCCAAATCATTATTGCAATTCATCACTCGCTGAGCCACGAACAAGTGGAGTAGGAAACCCGCCTTTACATGCAAGTTATCATTTTACTATTTAACTGGACACAGATGTGAAGAGACAGTGTTACAGCCCAAAAATCATATACCCTTTTCAAGAATAACCTTTCTATGTGCTGTTGCTTGTCTAGCTTGTCCAGTTTGTCAAGCTCGTCTAGCTTGAATCGCAATTTGCTTTTGATTAGACCCACTCCACCAGAAGGTTGAGAACCACATATCCATTCGCCTAAGCCGGTAAGCCGTCGGAAGCCTCCAGCCATCGTGCCTGAGACACGTGTCACTTTGACTGGTATAGAGCGGTGGTGCTGGCCACCCCGTCCCGCCCCGCTCGTACCCCTTGACTTGGTATAGAGCGTGGTGCTGGCCACCCGTCCCGCCCCGCTCGTGCCCTTTGATGGTATAGAGCGGTGATGCTGGCCACCCGTCCCGCCCCGCCGTTACCCTTTGACTGGTTGTAGAGCGGTGGTGCTGGCCACCCGTCCCGCCCCGCTCGTGCCCTTTGACTGGTATAGAGCGGTGGTGCTGGCCACCCGTCCCGCCCCGCTCGTACCCTTTGACTGGTATAGAGCGGTGGTGCTGGCCACCCGTCCCGCCCCGCTCGTGCCCTTTGACTGGTATAGAGCGGTGATGCTGGCCACCCGTCCCGCCCGCTCGTGCCCTTTGACTGGTATTATAGAGCGGTGGTGCTGGCCACCCGTCCCGCCCCGCTCGTACCCCTTGATGGTATAGAGCGGTGGTGCTGGCCACCCGTCCCGCCCCGCCCGTACCCTTGACTGGTATAGAGCGGTGGTGCTGGCCACCGCGTCCCGCCCCCGCATCGTGCCCTTGACTGGTATTAGAGCGGTGATGTGCTGGCCACCCGTCCCGCCCCGCCGTGACCGTCCGCGTGAGGCAAGTTGATTTACACCGCCTAGGCAGATATGTTCTAATGATTTCAAAAGTGCTGTCATAAACGGCGGATATATAGCGGTCATTCAAACCCGGGACAAAACGTTCCCATGGCGTAAACCGGTGCCTTGTCTCATCGTCATGCAGCCAAGCCGATGTGAAACTAAGCCGCAGTGGCATAAAATGACCGCGTTGCGAACCGTTGTGCAATTTTTTTCCGCGGTAGCACCACGGAGTAGATGCGTATGGCTTTGGCAAATCGTGGGTAGCAGCCGATAGCAGCCCTTTTGCCCTTTCCATACCCCGGAATTCCGTAGGCAGGCCAATTCCACAAATTCAAAAGTCATGCTGCTTTTTTATTTACGCTACAAGCGATATGCGCGTTCTTAAATAAGGGTAGGAATCAACCACCCCACATAGCGTACAAAACAGTGAGTGATGTACGTATCTCACGGGCAGGCCGGTGTGCAGCGCGAAATTCCACAACACACTCAAGGTGAATCACTAAAACTTTGAACAAAATAGTGTCATGGAACAAATAGTGGTTCGCTGAACACGCTTCGCGTCTTCATACCCATGTCCTGAAGCAGGACATTACGCGAAGTATGGAAGCCTTGGCAAGGGTTTTCAAAAGCAACAGCATATAGTGGAAGTAGCGTCAATGGGGGTAGCGTTAATGGTCGTGGTCGTTAATCTAAAACTCAGTCGAATGCTTGCACAGCGTGCGTAGATGCCGTCGTAGCCCATAACTTTGCGGCCAATCTCTGATGAGTTGCGTGGTACCGAACCGAGTGGCATACAACAACCGTGACACGCTGTCAAAGGCGTCAGCCCTGGGGTGAAAAAGTGTCTGTTCTGTCACCGACTCAATTTGAAAAGCCTGAGTTGTCCATCTGCAGCAAACTCCATCAGAAGAAACCGTCACAATCAACCAGAAATGCGATAAAACGACACAAAACAAAGATAAATGAAGGGCGGAAGATTCATAAAGATCATCAGTGATCTCGTTTCGAAAGGTTCACCTGCACTAAAGTATCATTTGCGGCCATGGCAAAAAAACCCGGTGGCTAGGCGTAGTAGGTCTTAGTGCATGAGTGTCTGACGCAGCGGGCCTTAAGGCCGGTGAGCACATAGGTTCGGTAGGTAGGTAGGTAGGCACATAGGTAACGCTTATTAAGCCTAAGACGTTGTGTGTACGACGTTGTGTGTACGGAGAAGATGAGGATATGCTTGGTCATCGGTCGCGCTTCAGTCCATAAATGGCACGTAACAACCCGTACCATACCAATCATGACATACTGGGGCAAATAACAGTGTTGGAGCAAAGCTCTTACATGGGTAATTCCATCCATCAGAGATTACTCTCCACCACTTCGTTGTTAGTTGTACGCTCTCTTTCATGTCAGAAACTGCATTACCTGTCGCTTTAATTCACAACGTAATTTACTTAATTCACCGGGCAACCCCACCATGTATTCTATCTGGTTGTTGGTAAGTTCAGAATCGCTGTGTCCTTTCCTATCACATTTATACCTCCGTCTATAATTGCAGCGTCTGAAATGCAATTTCATAGCTTCCATAATGCTCAAAATTCAGAATTCTAGCATTTACAATCCCTACCTGGAAAATTCGAACTCCCTAACTCCCCAAAACTTAACTGCCACTTTTGACACCCATCATATCCTGTAAATCGGTTAGCTTTTTCGCCAGTGCAGTAAGGATGTACTTATGTTATGTATTATATTAGCTGAAATGTATCCATTTTGCCGATGAAATTTTTGTGTCGAAAACGTGCGTGTAAACGGGCTGTGATAATCACCTATATTCGGGAGCAGTCCATTCTAAGTAATGAAATACTTGACTAAGTAATGAAAAATTACATGAGCACATAATGGCACTTTATACGCATGTTTCACATCTCAGTATGCAGGAGAGAAGTGCGACTTCACCTCATCTTGGTTAACAAAAGTGACGTGATTATGAAGAGCCGATACAAACTGCCAGTGTTCCTTACGTGATCGCTTTGGACTTACATACATGCTACATTTTAAAACATGTATGAAAAGTAGATATAAAAAATGTGGTATATATATATATATATATATATATGTATGTGTGTGTGTGTGTGTGTTTGTGTGTGTGTGTGTGTGTGTGTGTGTGTGTGTGTGTGTGTGTGTGTGTGTGTGTGTGTGTGTGTGTGTGTGTGTGTGTGTGCGTGTGTGTGTGTGTGTGTGTATGTGTCTGTGTGCATTGGTATATCTTGGCGGAATCCTCGCTTTTATGCATGTTCCATTAAAAACGACTGCTGACCTAGCATTGACGAGTTCTTTCAGCATCGTTCTAGTTTCAGAGCTTTTGGCTCAGCGCTATTATTTAGATTAACGATGATTTGTACAAAATGACTCATATATTCGTCAGTCCTTGCATTCCTACGTTTCGAGATGCTATCCCATCGTTGGAAAAGGCTGAATGACACAAAAAATAACTTTTGAATTTTAAAGCATAAAAATTGTGCACTCCTGCTGGAAAACGTCTTTCCGCACACATAACACAAATGAAGTGTGACCAACTGAAGTAAGACAAAATTATATTTTTACTTTGATACATGTAAAATACACTCATAATGGGAACACTACAAAAACACGAACTCATTACCACAATCACATTAATTTTCCTCACCGCCCACCACCTAATAATTCAAGGGTTATGCAACAATTTGCTTTCTTAGGCTAGAGAAAGTCGTTTAATTCATATACTTACCCAAATTTGAAGGTATCTTTTATCATTGCACGCCTGTAAAATGACAGTGTTGTCTGTCAGTTGTTGTGTCAATAACATTCCCTACAGACGTGCAATGATAGAAGACGCCTTCAAATTCGGGAACGCGTGTTTATTTACGAACTCTCTCCAGCCCTTAACAAACAAATTCTTATACAACCCTTGGCAGAAGACGCTTTTAAATTTGGGAAACATATTTATTTATGAGCTCGCTCCAGCCCCAGATAGACAAACAAATTCTGGTACAACCCTTGAATGAATAGGTGGTGGGCGGTAAGCACTATTGATGTGATTGTGGCAATGTGTTCCTGTCTTTGTAGCGTCCAGATAATGGGTGGATTTTATATGTATCGAATTAAAACTAGGATTCCGTCATACTTCAGTTGGCCATGCTTCATTTGTGTTCTATGTAACAAAACATGTTTTCCTCTAAAAGTGCACAATTTTCATCCTTAAAAACTCAAAACTTCTTTCTCGTGCCATTCAGTCTTCCCCGACGATGAGATAAGGCCACAAAACGCAAGAATGTAAAGATTGACGGTTATATGAGTGATTTTGCAAAAGCCATCATTAATCTAAACGATAATGCTAACTCAACAGCCTGGGACCTAGAACGATGCATTACAAAGCTCGTCAATGCTGAGCCAGCGGTCACTTTTAATCGAACATGCATGCGTGTATATATTTATATGTTTTCATATATATGTATGTATGCATATATATATATATATACATACATACATATATCACATAAATATATGCATATGTATATATATATATACATATATATATATATATATATATATATATATATTATATATATATATATATGTGTGTGTGTGTGTGTGTGTTCATATATATGTGGATAATCAGAACATAAGTGGGTGAAATTCGAGAAGGTTTTCGTACCTGTCACCTTTTGGAGACC